CACACACACACACACACACACACACACACACTCAAACACACACACTCTCTCACACACAGTTTTATGAAGCAGAGTAAACTGAATTGACTGGATCTCCAGTGATGGAGCCTCATGATTGCACAGATTACTCATGCAGCACTGATCTCGGGTCAGCGGTCTCTCACACTAGAGGATCTAGCACATGTCCATCATCTTTATGTTTGATAGCCCTTCCTCTCCTCCGGTCTCCATGGTGACCCATCTTCCTCTGAGACGACCTCGTGACCTTTCACATGGCAAACACGTAATGAATCATCCTGCGATTTCACAGATTTCACGAGACCATCATGTCACACAAACAGTAGAAGAACACCAGCAACATCTCCGTCTGAACTGCATTTCATCACAGCCTTCAAATCACAGACAAGTTTGAGCAAAACTCTGATAACTGATGCTCTTTGTGCCAAGACTCGATTCTGGCATCACTTCAGACGCAAACTGAGTCTGTTTATGGAGTTCATGTTTCTGAGAGGTTGATTACATATGGTGGTCAGCGTTGCCCTGGGCAACCGGGTTTTGTTTTTTTGTCTTGTTTTCCAATACAAATATCTGCCAGTGGGCTCAGAAAAATCAACGTAATTAAAAGGGAAAACAAGTTTTCATTCCCCACTGACAGATATTGTTTCCCCAGTAAATGTGTCTTGATTTATGAATTAGACATTTGCACTGGAAAACAAGACAGAAGAAACACAGGAGGTACAGTAACAGTTATTTCCATATTTTAGTGTTTGTGAGCAGTGAAGGATCTGAGGACCCTCAAATGCAAACTGTGTGTGTTTTGCCTCAAGAGAGCAACCATACATTTTCCGTCCTTTTTTATATTCATTTATTCTTCGTACTGTTTTGTGTTCAATCTCTGGATGGACTCAATGTGCCATAAACCTGCTCCAGCGGGTGAGTTAAGGACTCCAGTTCTGTGCTTGTTTGCTTTACCTGAAACAACCTGTCAGCACACGGTGACGTCACACGTGAAAGATAAACCGGAGGAAAACTCGAAACCAGAGCGGATCGAGTCCCGGGAAATATGATGCTTCCAGCAATTTCATTGTCAGAGAGTCACAAATGAATGAAAACAGGTTTGTGGAGAATTACTACAAAAATATTTGTAAAAATCTAAAGCTGTTAACTAATTGATTTAGATTGCATTTCAGAGCTAATGTGAAGTCAATCAGTGTCACAAGTCCATGCCGGAGAGAACGCACAGAATCAGCTCCTGAAATAATCTCAAACCAGATCCACGACAAACACGATCCTCCAGAGCAGGGGCGTAGCCATCATTTCAGAAGTGAGGGGGACAGAAATGTATATATATATATATAACATTTCTGTCCCCCTCACTTCTGAAATGATGGCTACGCCCCTGCTCTGGAGGATCGTGTTTGTCGTGGATCTGGTTTGAGATTATTTCAGGAGCTGATTCTGTGCGTTCTCTCCGGCATGGACTTGTGACACTGATTGACTTCACATTAGCTCTGAAATGCAATCTAAATCAATTAGTTAACAGCTTTAGATTTTTACAAATATTTTTTTAGTAATTCTCCACAAACCTGTTTTCATTCATTTGTGACTCTCTGACAATGAAATTGCTGGAAGCATCATATTTCCCGGGACTCGATCCGCTCTGGTTTCGAGTTTTCCTCCGGTTTATCTTTCACGTGTGACGTCACCGTGTGCTGACAGGTTGTTTCAGGTAAAGCAAACAAGCACAGAACTGGAGTCCTTAACTCACCCGCTGGAGCAGGTTTATGGCACATTGAGTCCATCCAGAGATTGAACACAAAACAGTACGAAGAATAAATGAATATAAAAAAGGACGGAAAATGTATGGTTGCTCTCTTGAGGCAAAACACACACAGTTTGCATTTGAGGGTCCTCAGATCCTTCACTGCTCACAAACACTAAAATATGGAAATAACTGTTACTGTACCTCCTGTGTTTCTTCTGTCTTGTTTTCCAGTGCAAATGTCTAATTCATAAATCAAGACACATTTACTGGGGAAACAATATCTGTCAGTGGGGAATGAAAACTTGTTTTCCCTTTTAATTACGTTGATTTTTCTGAGCCCACTGGCAGATATTTGTATTGGAAAACAAGACAAAAAAACAAAACCCGGTTGCCCAGGGCAACGCTGACCACCATATGTAATCAACCTCTCAGAAAGGGACACGTCCCCCGCGTCCCCTGCGTAATCTACGCCCCTGCTCCAGAGGATCACATGATCTAAATCAACTCTGATGCGTGCTTTCAGATTCAGTTTGCATTTCTTCACCATTCCACTCGATCCCAAACTGGAAAAACCAGGCTTTCCTCTGAAAAGCAAACAGCTGCCTCAGGAACTCATCTCTAACTAACCCATCGGAACTGTCTAAACCAATTAACAGCGTCTTCCCATCGGCGCTCGTCTGGAACACGACTTGGGCTTTTCTGCCTCGTGCGCATCAGAATGTATAATTCAAGATCGACGGCTTTTTATTATTATTATTATGATGATGATGATGATGATGGAATGTTCAAATGAGCCAAGACTATTCAAACTCCAACTGTCAAAATTCAAAGTTAAACTCCCAGAATCCCTTGAGACTCAATCAAGCTTCCACTCTATCTAATATTTCTAATCTATCTATCTATCTTAGCGACATGCTAATCATGTTAGAAACATACCAACAACATGCTAGTGACATGCTAATCGTGCTAGAAACATGCTAGTGAAATGCCAGCAACATGGTAGTAACTTGCTAATCATGCTAGCGACATGCTAGTCACTTGCTAAGCATGCTAGCAAAATGCTAGCAGCATGCTAACCATGCTAGAAACAGGCTAGCAACATGCTAGTAACATGCTAATCATGCTAGTGACATGCTAGTCACTTGTTAATCATGTTAGCAACATGCTAGTAGCATGCTAATCATGCTAGCGACATGCTAGTCACTTGTTAGTCATGCTAGCAACATGCTAGCGTCATGCTAGTAACTTGCTAATCATGCCAGCAATATGCTAGTAGTAAAACATGCTAAACATGCTAGAATCATGTTATCAACATCTATCTAATCTATCTACATTTTCAAACTTCAGGCTTTTAGAACTGCTTTAAACTTTCAGGCTAGGCTTTCTCAAGCCAACCTAAAGTTTGTCTTGACAAACTTTTTTATCTAGTTTAAGATATGCTGCTGCCTACAGTGAGTTCTTCACATCAGCATAATGCTGGTGAAAACACACAACACCATATCTGAACAAACAGCTGACATGACACACGTAATCAGACTGTGATTTATAGATTACTCCATCACACAGCAGATTTACAGCACTGCTGATGATAGCGAGCAGTAATAAAGTTCATCCACAGAGACTCGGTGACGCTGCAAAGCTGCTTCACTCACTGTATTTTCTGAATAAAGCGTCTCGTTAAAACAGAATCCGGCGGCGCTGACTCAGAAACAGTGGGAATGATGGTAAATTTACAACTGAATCACACCGGAGGACTGCTGCTGTGAATACACTGGTGCACAGGTTGATACCGCGGTAATTCTTATGTGACTGCACAGATTGGGCTCATTTTTGATTATCCAGGATTTCCTCAGCTGCTAAAGACATGCGTGTGTTATGGAGACTAATTAGATCTGTTTGAACTAGATTTCCCCCTCGTGTCGTTGCATAAGCTGCCCGTTTCTGATTCATCTGTTTATATATTTACAGTCAAACCAAAAATTATTCATACACCACATATAACTTTTGATATTTTTTTACTAGACACTATAGTTCATTTATGTCAAAATAAAGTAAACTGTGACCGGTAACACATTTTATTTTAGGGTCTCTCAACTAGTTGCTTATTAGCATGCATATTACTAGAATATTAGCCATTTATTAGTAATTATTGCTTCTGAGCGCAAACAATGCTGATTACGTTGATTATATTCTGGGGAAAGCGCGCACATGCATCTTGGTACTCTCCAAAGCTGAATTTTTGGTTGATTGTAATCCAGTACATACATTTCTATCAAAGTTATCTGACATTATCAAGATGCGTTTGTTCTGACACTCTGAGTTCTTGTCATATTTTATTACCGTTTTCTAAACTATAGTGAATAAACTGTGACAATGTGAGCAATGTTGAAGGTGTCTGAATAAATGTTGGTTTGACTGTATCCTACAATCTAGAATTAAACTGCTGGCCAGAGAACGGAACACTATTTCCCTGTTTAATACAGTAGAGCTGCTTTGACACGATCTGCATTATAAAAAGCTCTATATAAATAATGGTGACTTGACTTGACTCGTATCTTCACTAATAATGTAAGAGATGCACAACATAAAGAAGAACTCGCTCTTGCAGGATGTGCGCCTCAGATAACTCATATTTTGCCGTATTGATCATCTCGATCATGTGTTTAGTGTACTGATCTTCACTCACCGTCCTGCAGGCTTGCGGCAGTGTTTGTGGACGACTGCAGCGCTGCAGTGACCAGCGTCCAGAGGAGCGTCAGGAGCAGAAAGCACAGCATCACGCGTCTGCAACACACACACACACTGCAGGTTACAACTATTCAGTTCACATTTACTTACAGCTACAGCTGCGTTGCTGGGTTTTAAAGCAGGTTTGATTTTTTTTCTTATCAGTCTGTATTTACAGCAATTTCACTGTACACTCGGTTCAAATATGGATGAGTTGCTGCATGTAGATGTGTGAGATCATTACCATGCTGCTTTTGTGGGAAGGGGTGTTGGTTAACTCACTTGTTTCCTTTCTATAGGTTTTTAGCATTCTAAAAGCTCTTTACTCAGTGTATTCTGTAGCGTAATGCATTGTAAGTTGCTTCAGAGGCGCAAGGTATTGCAAGTATTTCATACAACAATAATAAAACAGTGTGTTTACGTAGAAAAATAAATTTACTTTTGGTACTTAAGTACTTTTAAACGCAAGTACTTCTGTACTTTTAGCTACTTAAGTAAAAATCTGTCTTTACAACTTTGACTTGTAATGGAGTAATATTTTACCAGCAGTATCTGTACTTTCACTCAAATAATGGAATTGTGTTCTTTGTCCACCATTGCATACACAGAAAACAAAACAAAAACAGCATGGTTAAAAATGGCCATTTATAAAGCAGATAGTTCCGGTCCTTGATTCTGATTGGCTGAGCTGCGTTCAAAGCTGTTGTAAATGACTCTACAAAGTAACATACACCTTTGTTTACGTTTGTGTGTTGCTCGGCAACCACTTTGTTGCAACCACAACTGTTTCTGAGGAGCTACATTGTTTGGTGGAAGAATACTGTTGTTATTAATATCATTACACTTTATTTGCTCTGTTTTATTTTGTGAAACCTTACTACGTATATGGAATAACCAGTTTATAAAAGCAATAAGCCCCGTGTAGCCGCGGTTTACAGTGAATTTATAACAGCTATAACTCTGCTTTGCGTCATACCTAACAACGCCCCTTAGCTGTTATAAATTCACTGTAAACCACGGCTTCTTGGGGCTTATTGCTTTAATATACTTTTCACAATAAAGCTTTACAGAGAGTGCGTGTTTCTACATTACAATCCAAAGTGGAAACAAAACACAGGAAGATCTCTGTCTTCATCTACACTCACGCATGACGTGCACACATACATGTAACATTTAGACTGACGGTGACACGCACAACATGATGATGATGTTTCAAATGTCAGCTCTTTTTACACGCGTACAACTTCAGAGACGTACAGTATATGTGCAAGCCTATGATCTGTTGACAAGGGCTGATGGGAACTGGAAATACTGGAACCTTCGCCATTCAGACTCAATGTTTGTCTTTAAATGGCAGCGAAACCTCATGAGATTCAGTCAATGCCTGTTTGCTGGATGTGAAATCACACACGGCTGAAAATAAAGTATTTGATGATGCATTTACACAATCGTTTAGCAGGTACACCTAAACAGTCAGCACTGCACAGCCATCCCAAACTGCCTTTACTTCATTATCAATGATGTTTCAATTGCATATTAAAAAAATGGTTAAAAAGGGCACGCTGTGCGCATTAATATTCCCTCTGGCCTCTTATTCCATCTCACATAACAAAACATAATTAACACAACAGTAAAATCAAATCTGTGAACTCCACTAATTCAATATTCAATCATCCTCAACAGAGCATTTGTTACTGTATGTATGATAAAGGGATTGTTTACCCAAAAATGACAGTTCTGTCATCATTTACTCGCCCTCATGTCCTTCAAACCTGCATGACTTGAAGATGTTCTGGAGAACGTTAGGAACTAAACAACATCACTGACTTTGACTGCGTGCACAAACAAAGACATTGTTGGGAATATCCTGAACATCTATAAAGTCAGACAGGTTTGGAAGAGCATGATGAACGCTCAAAATCTGAATAAAAAACAGATGTGCACAAACATGCAGGCTTTCATTGACGTCAGTCACGTCCTCGTGATCATACGTCAATGACATTAAAGTCATGAAGAATAAAGAGTCAATTTATGAAGCAGATAGACACACACACACACACGTCTCCTCTGATGGTGAGAGTCATGAGACTGATCACAGGACTCGGCCTTCTGTCGCCTGCAGTCTCACTGAACCACATTAAACACAGTCGGTTTGAGACGACGAACACAAACATTCCTTACTGATACACATCATTTAAACAAGAGGAGGAAATCATCACAGCCTACAATAACTATATATATAATATTTGACCATTAGTTAACAATGCAATAATGCAATAAAATACAATACTTAAATCAATTATACAATACATTTTATTTCTATAGCACATTTAAAACAACTGACGTTGACCAAAGTGCTTTCCAGCATCATTACATACAGTCACACAAACAAAAACCTGATCCCTCTAATCAATTCTAAAAGCTCTACTAAAAAGGTACGATTTCAATCTAGACAGATGGGGAAGATTCCATAATATGCATTGGAAGAGGGTTCCATAATCCCTGAGAAAGCCCTATCACCCTTTGATTTTAATCTCGTTTTAGGAACATGAAGAATCATCTGATTCGAAGATCTCGTGTTTCTTGTATTTTGATAAGGGATCAAAAGGTCAACGATATATTTTGGGGCAATGCCGTGCAATGCTTTAAAAACCCTCAACAACACCTTCAATTCAATTTTACAGGCAAACCAAGACTGGGGTAATTCTCTCTCTTCTTTGTGCGAGTCAAAATTCTGGCAGCAGCATTATGTACTAATTGAAGATGAGATAATTGACCCTGTGAAATACCTATATATACAGAATTACAGTAATCGATGCGTGATGATACAAAGGCATGAATAATAGACTCCAGGTCCTTAAAAGAGAGAACTGATTTCAGTTTAGAATTAATTCTGAGTTGGTAAAAGGCAGCCTTCACAACACTAGTAACCTGTTTATCTAAAACTAAAGCTGAATCCATTATAACACCCAAATTCTTGACATGATCTGAAACACTTATCTTCATAGAGGCCAGCCTACTTAAAATTTCCTTGGAAGCAGAAGAAGGTCCAAAGACAACACACTCAGTCCTATTAGTATTAAGGTGAAGAAAATTGCTTGCCAACCAGCCTTTTATTTCATCTAAACACTGAGCAAGTCCATTAAAGGACTGAGAGCCATTTGGATCTATTGGAATATATAACTGGGTGTCGTCTGCATATAAATGATACATATTATTATATTTATGAAAAATTGAGCCCAAGGGGCCCATATATAATGAAAATAAAATAGGCCCAAATATAGACCCCTGTGGCACACCACTATGTAATTTAGCTGATGTAGGACACAAATCTTTAAGGCAAACCGAGAAAGATCTATCTTTTAAATATGATTTAACATTTAACATGATTTTAACATGAACAAATAACACAGAGATGACAACAGAGGTGAATCGAGTTATGACGTTATGATGAAGAATTGTGAAGACAAACATGATCAATCAATAGCTATGTTTCCATCCACCTTTTTTTATGTGCATATCGCATAAATAAATGCCAAGATGCACATCAGTTTAAAAAATGTGCATAAAAAAACGTATGCGCTCACCTAAGTAGCATACATGTTTTATCCGGTAAGAAAACGTGCATAAACTACGATAGAAACACTTTTACCGAATAAATTCCTTAATGCACATAACTGGACCAACCAATGGACCGATCTCATTGCACAGCATCTGAAATGCTTGAGCAAAGTCTCGTCAAAGTGCTTCATTATAATTAACTCTCAGAACTGTGTTCCTAAACAGCAGACTCCGAAAATAAGATAACATGACCGCGTTTTGTCTGTGCGATCTGAAGCTCATAATTTATTGCATACACAAATTATTATACATTGTACAGTCCTACTGCAGCAAATTAAATTTTTCTTCTTGATGTTTAGCGCAAGATAATCAGGAAGTTTAATGCACTGGATGAAAACAGTGCTTTATTCGCAAATGTTTTATGCAATATTCCAATTTTGCGCACAAGTTTAATTCGTAACTTTGGATGGAAACATAGCTAATCACAATGTCCTGTTTAATACTGTAAAGCTGCTTTGACTCAACCTGTATTGTAAATACAGTAATTGTAAATTGAAGGGAGTAATTTGTCTGCTAACATTAAAGATCCCTTCAATCCCATCAGATCTCCTTCACTGCAGAAATACAGATGGTCAAAGCGGAGAAAGAAAGTTCAGGGCATTCAATATTCAGTCAGCGGCTGTAATCGCATAATTAATCTCCGCACCGTTTCCTCGAAAGACCAAAGTTTGATCTAATAATGTTACACAAAAGCAGAGTGACGACATGCATGTGTTATAAAAGCGTCTTTAATTAGTAAAGCTCTGTAATGAAAGCCGTGATTGTGCTGGAAGAAGCGGTGATCCGTGTTCATGTATGTGGACGTCTGCTGGGGCATGATGTGATTGCTAACACTCTCTCCGCGCATGCTAGTCATTATCTGTATGAACTCAGACCTGCTCAATCATCCCAAACACACAAACACAAAGAGCTTCGGAAGTGAAAAAACGCCTTTTCTGAAGCTCCCGCACTGAAGCTCCTGCATGCATTCGGACTAAAGCTTGTCCAATATCTGGAGGAGTTTAAGAGCTTAAAAAGAACAGCAAGAATGACCAGAGATTTACCGGCCGGCACTATTGTCACCGGATTACACCGACATGATGGATAATCTTTATTCTCCCATCAATCCAGGGACACTACTAACTCAACCACTCCATCAGCATGGGCTGATAATCAATGAATGCCATTAATGACGTGAAATTTATATTTCAAATAATAAACTCACAAATCAAAGAGATTTCAGTGCATTCCAAGAACAATCTGTAGAAATACGGCTGAATATACCTTTGTAAACATGAAGGATTTTTTAAATATTGATTTTCACAGGTGTTTTACCTGTATTTTTAATGATGCATTCTGCATTAATTATTTGTTTCCATCCCATCTTGTCCCATCTATATTTATATTCCCATCTTGGGAATGCAGATGGCGGATGATTGTTCTGCGGGTTCTGGCAC